GATCTCGTGTTCGTATAAACCCAGTGAACCGGAAAGATGGATGCCCGCTTGGCAAGACCTGAGTAGAGAGGTAGTACAAACCTTCAACAGTGGCTACTGGATAGGCTTCACCTGAGGCTGGCATAACTGGACGAGGGCCGGGTATTCAGAGGGAAGGTACTCTACCAACCAGGCTGCCAGAATCACTGGAGGAAAAGAATCTGCAGTGCAGATACCAAGGGACAGGTGTCCCATTCGGGCCATTTGGATTGGTAGTCTAGGGAGACCGGCTAGGAGGTACTGAAAGGGAAGATACTAGGTTGACTTGAAGGGGAGGAACCGGGGTTTGGGTGAACTCTACAAGGGCAGAGTAGATAACGATAGCGGCTTCGGCTCGCAAGTACTTGATCTCAGCCTAGGCATAAGTTACTGAAGTAGACTAGGTAATACGGTAATAGTGGGTACTGGACTACTCTAGCAGATGATGCATTCGAAGATGAATCGGTTAAAAAGCTGGTAGTACTATAGGTTGTCTGCGACGATCCTGAAACTTGGACTGACTAATGTATCGCATGTTCCGGGTAAGGTTAGATAGATTGGCATAGGAAACTCAGATCAGAGGGTTTAATTGAATAATCCAAATAATAGTGGGTTATAGGTACGGCATCTAGTGTAGTACTCAATATAACTACTTAATTAGGCGCTCAAAAGGCGTAGATATGGCTAGAATGTATCTTCGTCAGAATGTACTTGTCTGGGGCCCCCTTGAAAGGACACTACATGATTCTATAATCTAATAAAAGCGACGAGCCAAAGAGGCTAACCTTGACTACAAAAAAAAAAAAAATATTTATAGCTAAAAGCTACTGTAACTATAATTAAAATAATTCTTTTTTGTTAGTTAGAGTAAGGTGAAGATAGTGTATGAATAAAAAAGTATATTTTATAGTAAAATTTATCAAGAGATTTTTTTTGTTAGATCTCAAAGAATAGTTTCTTATACTCAATTTTGAGTTATAACTAATTTTGATAATTTTTGACAAAATAAACATTGTTTTGAATTTTCCTAATTGTATTATATTACACCTGATCTTTAAATTTGAATAGATTTATGTGATGCAGTTACAGTAGTTATGGCTACAAATATACTACTTCTTATATTTATATAAAATGAACTAAATAGTTTATTAAAAATCAGATATATTTAATATAAACTTAGAAAATGTTTAAAACTATATTCAGTTATATGTTTTAACTATTTGATAAAAATTAGATAAGAGTTATTAGAGATTAAGATTAGGGTATATCTTATAGTAAAATTGATCACCAAATATTTCTTAGAAGCAGGTTTAAATATTTGTTTCTTGTGCTTTTTGTATTTTTTACTTTTTTCTATTTTTGTCTCTTTGGACTGATCTATATTAATCAAAACAATTAACTTTATTGGCTTTGTATTATATAATTAGACATAGCTTTAAATAACCTCCAAATTTAAAAATAATCTATATAATGTATAAATTATCTTCTCGATATTTACATAAACTACTAATTATTATTATATTAAAATATAACCCTACTATATTAAAAAAGTAATTTTAATACATCTGATTTTAATATTTTTACTAAAAAAATTTTACAGTTTTTTTTTTATATATATTTAAAGTGAGGTTAAACCTTTAATTTTTTATTAATTCTTAAGTTTATATATTTTTATATATTTATTTTCAAACTAATTTCAAAATATGAAACTTAGACTACTTTATCTGTGATCTAGACTTATCAAAGTATTTCATATTCCTATCTATGTCTTACTTTATTTTTGTGCTTTACAATTAACTAATTCTAGTTATCTAACTGTATTCTCCTAATGATTTACAATCAAACCTCAGTAATCCTAGTTTGGCTCACTCATGTTATTGATCTCTAAAGACCTTCTAAATTGGTATATCTGTAGTATAGACGAAACTAACATCCACAGGTTTTAATGTTTCTTTTTTGATATTTCATATATTGTATACTTCTCTATCCCTTATATACTCCCTTTTATAGTATTCATAATTTTATAGTTTTGGCTTATTAATAAAAAAGCTAAAAGTTATTTTTAAAAAAAATAAAATATTAAGCATTATAATTATGATTATAAAATAGTTTCTTAAAAAATACTTATATAAAAATAATTTATACAAAAAAAAAATGTTTTCAGTTTTAAAATACTACTATTTACAAAAAAAATAACAAAAAAAATATATAAATGGCAATTTCTATTTATACATGGGGTGTTTATACATAGATATATCACATGATCATATAATATTTAATATACTAATCTAATAGCTTGTACTATCAATTTGGTATTAGGGCGTGACCAATCATTAGATGTGACAAATAAGTATTTAATATATGAACTATATTATAAATAGTTATTTGTCACATCTGATAATCATCACACTGATACCAAATTAAAGATATTAACTAATCACAGCTAATCTTATAATATAGGTACTATATAAAAAACTAATACCAGTAATGAACCTAATACGCAATACTGATGCTTATTTGACCCTAACTATTAGCCCATGAACATAATATACAATATTGATGCTTACTTTAGCTCTACGAATCTAATATGCAATACTGGTATTCACCCTAATCCTAACTATTAAAAAGAGTTATTTACAAAACTAATAGCCTGTGAATATAATATACATTACTTTAATCTAACTATTAGCTCTACGAATTTAATATGCAATACTGGTATTCACCCTAACTCTAACTATTAAAAAGGGTTACTTACAAAACTAATAGCTTATAAACATAATATACATTACTTTAATCTAACTATTAGCCTACAAATCTAATATATAATACTATTGCTCACTCTAACCCTAACTATTAAAAAAGGTTACTTATAAAAACTAATAGTCCCGTAAACATAATATGCTTATTCTAGCTTCATGAATCTTACAATATTAACACTTAACTATTAAAAAGGATTATTTATAAAGCTAATAGCTTTGTGAATCTAACATACAATACTAGTACTTATGCAAACCCTATCTATCAAAAAGTGTTACTTATAAAAACTAAATTAATCACAACTTATCTTTAACCAATAAAGTTTAGTGAATTATCATAAAACTGTAAACTTTTTATATAATAACTAGGCAGAATAAAGAAAATTTACAATATAATAATAGCATTCATATATCAATTATAATTAGATCAGCGCATATAAGATTATTCATTTTTTGTACAAGTTTTGGCATAATGACCTACTTGATCACATTTACTATATTTTTGACCTTTATTAGAATCTAAGTCTTCATTAAGATTTTTATTAACTATATTATGTTGTGTATTATTTCTTAATAGACGCTTGTTTTTAGACTCAACAGCAGATACAAATCTTTTAGAAGAATGTCCTTTATGCTTCGTAATAGAAGGATTAACAATATCTTCATTTTGTTGCTTATTATCTTCTAATTTATTTGTTTTTCATAAAGAAAAGCTTTTAAAACATTAGATAGTTCTTGATATACATTAGCTTTAATTGCAATATCGACTACCTTTTTTGATAAACTAAATAATTCTGCATAAATTATTTTAGCTGGCTTTGGTTTGGAGTCAGAATTATAAATATTAGATCAAATTATATTAAATTAATTGAATGCTAAATCCAAATTAACTCTAGATTCTTGTTGAACAGGCACAGAAATGGAAATTGCTGGCATTTGAAGATTATTTGATGCAACATTAGATTCTGAGTACTATCGACTTGGAATAAGTTTTATATAAAATGTTGCTAATGTTGAATATATATCAACTTGAAAGAAATGATAGCAAATTAAACCTTTATTTATTAAAAGAAGACAGGTACATAAATGTATACCATCTTTAAGGATTATTATATAATGTCCATGACCTATAGTTCTAGTAGCATATATATGCCAAACTTAAATAATTATTTCTTTTGGTACTACTGTAAATGGCCGGATACAAGACCCGGGTCTGTTACATTTCACCAATTTTAAAACCTAGTTATAGACCTGTGGGTCTGTTATACGAATATAGGTCTGATAGCTAGGGGGGTTTTTATGTGGAGGATCTAGTACTATGTAGTACATAGATTAAGTTATGACTTATTTGTTTGTCGTCGCCCAGATAATTGATACGTATTTAGATATTCGATTAACATTGTCCAAATTATGGTTGATATGACATTACTTGAGTTAAACTCAAGCTTAACGATTTATTTGGCGTAAAAATATTACAACAATTCTGATATTAAAAATAAGAAATTTATAGTGTAGCGAAGAAGAAACTAGTAAAAGAGACCAGATGTTAGATAACAGAGCAATAACTATAAACTAAAAAAAAAAAATAAAATAAACTTTTAGTAATTAGTGTTATGACTTAACGGATAAGGACAATTAAATTTAAACTTTCCTGCAAATGAAATAAACTATTAAAAGAAACTTAGTAAACTATTACGTAAAAGCAAGCACCAGGTAATTAACTTATTAATACAACTAACATGTGCAAAATCATTTATTATATAATAATGTTCAACAAAATTATCACGATTTACATTTCTATCGCGTTAAACCAAGTATTAGACCAAAAGGTAATTGGCAAAGGTTTATTTTGGTTTAAATTTATATAAAGATACTAAATTTTAATACATAAATAGAGTCAAATATAAAATGAAGCATAATAGAACAATTCTAAAGGATGCAAAAATAACCAAAAAAAAAAGAAACTGGAACGTTCGTGAGAAGTTGGCGATCATTACATACCTAGAAAGAAATCCTGCGGCTATTAAACGGAATACTGCAGAACGCTTTGAAATAAGCCCAAAACAACTGCGTGAATGGATCAAAAAAAAAAAAGAGCTGAAAAATGCCTCACCTTATGTTAGACGTCTAAATATTGGTGCACGTCCAAAATATCCACTTTTAGAAGCAGATCTTGTGTCTTAGATTAAGTCTTTACGTTCAAAACAAAAAGCAGTGTCTCAGTACATGATTAGAGCTAAAGCCAAACAACTTGTCCCACATTTTGCTTCAAATTATCCAAAAATTAACGAATGCAAATGGATTGATAAGTGGCTCGAATGTTTTATGCGTCACAATAGATTAAGCAATAGGTAGGGTTGTAATTTTCATATATTATACATAAAGTACCGGATTTACAAGTTTTGGTCACTATTACTGCATAATTTTGAACGTATGATTTGAATTGTAATTCCTAATTCTAACATCTTTGCAATAGGCACCGTACTACTATTGCACAAAGATTACCAGAAGAGTTAGAATCCAAAAAAGATGAATTTTTAAGTTACATATTATTTCATCGTATGCATTACAACTATCCACTCTCACTAATAGGTAAGGATGACTAATTTTTGTTTCATGCATATGACGGCATAGATAGTATCCAAAAAAAATTTTTTATACAGAGAATGTTATTTTATTTTCGTGCATATTGCATAGTAGTAATTGTTGATTTTTGTGCATATGAAAGTTTTTCATTATGTAATTAAAACAGATTATGATTATGATATTAACTATATTTGAATATTTGAATTCATATTTAGCTATTCAAACCTTAACCATCACCTGTTTTAAATTGATAAAAACCTGTTTTTTTACTTATAGAAAATATGGATGAGACGCCCCTGACATTTGATGTGCCTAATAATGTTACAGTTGAAGAAACGGGTGTTTATACTGTCAGAATTTGTATAACCGGGCATGAAAAATCTAATTTTACAGTTGTTTTGAGCTGTTTAGCCGATGGAACCAAACTGCCTCCTATGATAATCTTTAAACTATTAAACGTACTACGACAAATATTCCCACAAGGCATTGTTGTATGAGCCAATAAGGAAGGATATATGAATTCTGATGAGATGGTTTTTTGGATTGAAAAAATTTGGGGTCATCATGCTTCTTTGTCTATTAATCACCATTCATTATTAGTTCTGGATTCATTCCGTGGTCATATTACAAACCCAGTTAAAAACCGGTTTAATGAAAAAAATACCAACATCGCAGTTATTCCAGGTGGTCTCATGAAGAAATTACAACCATTGGATATATAGATTAATAAGTCTTTCAAGGATAAGGTAAATAAATAAATATAAGTACATAACAGATTTTTTTTTTTTAAAAAAATTTTTTTTTTTTAACTGAAAAAAAATTTACAATTATTATTTAAGTATCGCAAGTGCTACCTTGACTGGATGCATGAGGAAATTAAGAAATTAACACCAACAGGTCATATCCAAAGACCTGCTTATAATGTAGTAGCCAGATGGGTAAAAATCGCATAGAACCAAGTTGATCCTGCCTATATAAAATGGTCTTCAAGTGTTGCGGTATCTCTAATGCTTAAAACGGATCTGAAGAAGATGTAATGTTGGACTATGATTGGGTAAAGAATCCAGAGGTCCAGAATAAGCGTAGTAACTACATACATGATGATGTGAACAGCACAAGTGATAATGAAAGTGTTATTGACTTAACATTAGATGGTAATGGGAATAACGATGATGATAATAACGATAGTAACGATAGTGATAATGACGATGATAATGATGATGATAGTGAGAATGGTGACGACGATAGTAATAATGGTGATAGAAACGATAGTGTCAATAACAACGAAGATAGTCTGGGTGAAAATGAACGTGAAAATAAAGAAAATGAGGAAGATACATATTACAACGATGAAATCGTTAAATATGTTAATGTATGGGATTAAAACTTTAGAATTATTCTGCAAATTTAAATAAATCATTAGCATATACCAAAATATACATTAAATAATCGTGAAGTAACCTATTATATAATAGGCAAATATGAAAAATCTCTTAAAGGTTTACATTTTATATATTAATGTAATGCATAGATTTATTTGCAGAATTGAATAAATTGTTAGAAATTAAACCAGATAATATCTGGCATTTAGAGTTGTATTTCATAAATTATAATTTTACATTACGCGTAATTTTATTTAAATTTTAGAAAATCAAATTTCATATAATTTTTACACGTTATATATATAAAGTGCCAAATTTACAAAAGTTTTGGCCAGTATTATTACATTATTTGATTTGAATGTGCAATTTGAATTGTAACTTCTAAATCGCCAAAAATTTGATCTCTGAAACTAAATATTATGTGTTCAAAATTTGTATCTAAAAACCAAAAGTTTTATTAACCCTTTTAAAATTAACAAGCTAATAAGTAACATAGTACAACTAAACTAAAATTTTGCAAGTACAAAAATGTTATTCTTAACTCGTCTAACCTTAATTATTTCATAATACCTTTCGAATCATTTCATTTACTTAATCATTTCATTCAACTCTAACAGGTTCACAAATCAAGAATATAAATACTTATTTGCTATTCTATGATATCCTTCGAAGTAATATAAGGGCCTTCGTTTTAACATCAATGAATGTGCATGAAAGATTTAATGTTTGATGCATCTTCAACACTAATAATTATGTCAATTCTTCTAATTCTCTTTGTTAATTAGAGAATTTTTCAAAGAGATTTAGTTCCAT